TGAATGATGAAGTGTTGAGTCTAAAGAGATGGAAGGAATATTTTGAAAGCGTATTTATGAGTGAGGAGACGTGTGAATTAAATGAAATAGAAATTCCGAAAGAAGATGAAAGAGATAGGGAGATAAGTATAGATGAAATAATGAAAGCAATGAAAAGCATGAAAGTAGGTAAGGCAGCCGGATATGATAGAGTTTCACTCGAAATGCTAAGGGCTGGAGAGGACGTGGTGACAGGCCTGCTGTACACCTTGTTTAATTTATGCTGGGAACTAAAGCGGGTACCGGGAGACTGGTGCAAAGCCGTGATAGTCCCAATATATAAGGGAAAAGGGTCACAGCAGGACTGTAAAAACTACCGTGGTATCAACCTTCTTAGCATTGTGGGAAAACTGTATGCTAAGGTACTAATTGAAAGAATTATGAAAGAAACTGATGAAAAAATTTGGGATGTGCAAGCGGGATTTAGAAAGGGAATGGGGTGTACAGATCAAGTCTTTTCCATGCGCATGATCGCGGAGATGTTTTTGGCGAAAAACCAAAAAGTTTTTTGTGCGTTCATGGACTTGGAAAAGGCTTAAGACAGAGTGGACAGGAATGTGTTATGGCAAAAGCTGAACGCATTTAGGTTGAGCGCTGGTTTAATACAGGCATTAATAATAATAATAATAATCAGGATCAGGTTATTAACACCAACAACTATCGGAGATACATCCTAAAGGATGGCACCGTCGACTTCTGTCGCGCTTGTTGCCATCCCGGTGAGTCACTAAGGCATGTCATCTCCGGTTGTTCGACGCTTTCTAACTCTGAGTACTTGTACAGGCACAACCTAGTAGCCAGAATTCTTCACCATGAGCTCGTTCTGAAATACGGTCTCGTGGACCGGAAATTGCCGTTTTACAAGTACTTGCCGGTAGCCGTGCTCGAAAATGATCGTGCCAGGCTTTACTGGGACCCCCCCCCCGAACGGGTTCCCGCCTTGTCGTGGCGGGGGGGCTTAGTGGCCGTGGCTTGGTTTCCCACGGTGAACAAAGAGGAACCCACGTGGCTGGCCCGAGGTGAAGGGCCGGCCTGAGGTGGCCACTCCGAGTGGACTTGGGGAGCCCACTTCGGATGTGTGCTGGTGAGAGGGTGGGGACTCACCCACCGCTGCAGCCGAGGTGGAGTCGCGGAGGAAGAGGAGTGTTGGACACTCGCCCTATCCTCCGCGACTCAAACGGGGCCGCACCGTTGATGCGGTGGTGATGGGGCTGCGGGGGGAGAGGATTGTCGGTATTGCGAGGCGCCGCTCTCCCTATCCTCCGCAGCCGAATCTTGGTTGGCGGTGGAGCCATAGACCAGATCCGCCGCTGGGGTCGGGAAGGCTAGTACTTCTAAGTGCTCGTTTTTCCTGGCCCATGGCCTTCGCGCATCGGACGCGGGGGGCGTCTGTTGCGCAGATGTAATTGGAGGCCGTGGAGGAAGGCGTGCCATGTGTTCTGGTGCGCCTTACTTGGGAAGGAGAACGGGGAGGAATATTCCTCTCCCGAGGAGGTGCTGCCATGGGGCGGCAGTCGCTGGTAGGGCCGCGGAAGTGTGCGAAAGCGTTCCCGTAGCCCTGAGAATATGCGATGAAGGTGGAACACCATGGGGTTTTAGTCGATGCGAGTCCGACATAACCCGTCCTTGCACCTGCGAGGCGGGTATGCGTAGGCATTTCCCCATGTTAAAAAAAAGGCTTTACTTGGACCAGGCCATCGTCACAGACAGGACTGTTCTCGCGAATAAGCCTGATATTGTGCTGATGGACCGGGCACGGTCAAGGATATTTTTAGTCGACATTACCATACCGTATGACGAGAACGTCGTGAAAGCCGAAACAGATAATCGAACAAAATATCTGGACCTGGCTCACGAGGTGACCGACATGTGGGGTGGTCTGCCGACTGAAATTATTCCTGTAGCCGAGGCGGCTCGGACTCCGTAACGGACCGCACCAGGCTCAAATGCGGAAGGTGGTGCTCCTCGATACCGCCCGCATCGTCCGCCGGTTTCTCTCCCTTTCCCCCTAACCCTCGGCCGTTTGGTCTCCCCTGCCGAGGGCCTCCATCTGGTTGGGCTTTTATTTATTTATGTATTATTTATTTATTTATGCTGGTATATGAAATATATATTTATGTATATTTATCTCATCTTTTTATATATTTAATCAGCCCAACCAGATGAGAATACGCTACTAATACCCCATAATAATAAGATATTACTGAAGTTCATGTAACACTAGAATAACAATAATCACATTATAAATTTCACTTGTTTTATGATTTATAAATCCGTTAAAAATAGTTTAATTTCGACGTGTAACATTCGCCTAAATATTAGAATATCACGTTTCAATCAACCACTTAATGCTATTACTTATTGTGTAATCTACATTAGTACTATACTTTAAAAAAAATGTAAAAGTCCATACTAAAACTGGCAAGTATAGAGATGGTATTGCGGAATCCAACAGCCTTCTATGGTTTTTCAAATATGAAGATTGTCTTCTGTGAAGTGTCTTGAGCATAGCACACTAATTTTGGTGGGAAAACATTGGTCCCCTCGACAAGTAGCGTCGATCCACATCTTTTTCCTTTCGGGGCATTTAGGAAACTTATAACATATAAGTACCACATTGATATACCACTATTTTTATAAAATCATGACTAAAAAATGTAAACAAAACAAACACAAAAACAAATATCTTCTTATAAATCATAACACTATCGATACACGTGCTATCGCTAGACAAAAACAACTAGTGTAATTTATGTAATGAGTGAAAGAGACATTTCAAAAAGACATCAACGGGTGCTTAATTGTGTTCACTTTAGTTGAACGCTTAATTGTTATCACTTTGCACCATTATATTACTAGTATAAGTTGAACTCCGGTGCATTTGAAATAGGTTAACGTGATAAGAATAGAATTTACTTACCGATGAAATGTTATGCCATCTTTTTGATAACTGGATGTCTTAGCTGACTTGCCACACTATTTTACTGCACAGAAAGCCATTTGTAATGTATTTTGGATACAAGACTATTTTTAAATTGTCAAGAACTCGGACGTGCCTACGGGTCACAAACTTGGTCGACACTGATATCGTGATTCTTATCGTTACTTCGTATGCTAGCTAAAGCAAGCATGTGTTGCGCGCGTTTGTGGCCCTGTATGCGGAATCTGTTAGGGGGTAATCTGTGTCATAGATAAATAGATATGATTATCATTAAAACAACGTCACGCAAAAAAGTTGACTCTGGTAATTTTGCTTTTTTGAAAGATTCGAATTTCGAACATAAATAAGTGATAAATGGCTATACATCGTAGACAGAGAAACCTATAAACTAATGATTAGCGTGGCCTCGGGAGAGAAAGGACGATAACGTAGTTTTAGGTTATACAATAATCTTTATGACTTTTAAACATATTTAGATAAAAAAAAATTATTATTCTAAGAACTGAACTGTACAAGATTCACCAATCTTAAGCTCACAGAACACTTTTTTCTCACTTAAACCAACTTGTCAACTCCTTACATCGCTACGAATTGTCAAAGTTGTTTAGCAAAGTGTAGTTTGCTAAACAAAAAAAATTCATTGACTGATATGCGAATAATCGGCAAAAAGATTCAAATAATCGTTAAAAATATTCAAATAATCGAATCATTAATTTTTTTAATGTAATATTTGTGTAATAAAATTTTTATTTTTAAAATTCTTTAAATTACATGAATCATGAATAAAATAAGTTTATTTTTTTACTTTTTCAACATAAGGGACAATGGCGAACTCCCAAATCCCAAATAAATTTTAGTTGACTTTTTTTGCGTCTATAAATGCAAAATATGTAAAAACATAGTTTAAGATCCTGAGCATTTTTTTCTTCGGTCATACTACTGCAGGAAGTCAAGAATCAGAGATATTCCAGTTCAAACAAAATACACATCAGGCTAGGCTTAACTGGCAAATCGTTACAACAACAACTAGTCAATATAATTTTCATATATGTTTAGATAGGATAGTTACTAGCATAGAGGGAATCCTTAAAGAATGTATTATTATATATAGAAGAGCTTTCTGAATAAAATACACGTCAAACTCGACTGTATATTATAAGATCTTTGTCTGTCTTAACTAGCGAATCGTAACAATTACAACAACTAAGTTTTAAATTGTGTATGATTATTTTTATATAGCGCATAAGCTTGATTAGATAATACATCGTAAATTAGTTCGTATATTCGTAAATTATTGATATCTGTAATGTTAACTTAAGTAGACACTTAATAATTTCATCACATTTTATTTTGCCATTGTCCTTGTGTAAGCAAAAAACTCACATACAAGGCCGCGCTGAAAAAACCACTACGTAATTTCAATCTACCGCCATTCCAGGAGCTTACTGAGCGTAATTTTCTCTTTGTCTTCTTATTTTGTGACACTGTTTTAACTTTTTGGACTGTTTCTTCTATATTCGTTGAAGCATGTGCCGATGTCAAAAACGATGATTGGGCAAAAGTGGTAGAAAAAACAAAAAAAAAAGATTATGGATGGCTTTGAGAGACAGTAATTTTGACTGCATTATCGAAAATCAAATAATAATCAGCTCAAGTAAAATAAATTTATTCAATCACTTTCAGTACAATTTATTGAAAGTGATTGAATAAATTTATTTTTAATCTAGTTTCAATCTAATTTTTTTATAATTGTGCCTCTAGAAATAAGCAGTTACAACAAATACGAAGAAACTGATAAATCTTGTGTTTTAAATAATTATGCATCTGGTATTATTCAAACCAAACTATAAATGATTACTAACTCCAAATAATCGATATCGATTTTCTTTAAGAATCGAATATTGTATGTTCCCATTTTTTGGTTAGCAATAAGTCTGACAGCTGTCAAAATGTGTTCTTAGATTTGGTTGAGTTGACTATTGATTTCAGAATTTCAGATTAGCAGATAAAATACAGAAAAATGTGGGGTGATTCTCTGTTAATTGTGTTCATTTCAATATGCACTGCTTTTCTAGGAGAAGGTACATATGTGTATTATTTAAAAAAAAAAATCAGGATAATATTTCTCATTTTCTTGAATTCTTTAAGAATTTCATTTTTATTTCAGGATTAACATGGATACTAGTTTACAGAACAGAAAAATATCAAAAGCTTAAAGTTGAAGTTGACCGTCAAAGTAAAAAGCGTGAGTTAATTAAAATATTCAATTTATTGGATTCGTTCAGTCCTTGCCACAAATAATGGTTTGAAACTCGGCAAGAACAATGTTTCTAAGTATAATTCATGGTTAAATATAAATAATACTTTATATAATAATTAGTACTGTTGCTGTCTTAATTGTACTGAATTCTTGGAAATGTTACATTTGCTATTGTAGATTTTAATGGCTATGTTGGGCTTAACTTATTAGAGTACAAGTACTGGTTTAGGTAAAAAACTATTAACTGAACAGTATTAGAAAATTCAGTTTAAATAGAGTTTTGTAGGTTAATTAAATAAGGTGAAGATAATTTTCCAATTGTTTTTTTAAGAGATCTTAGTGGTTTTTTTTTTTTTGGAATTTCAGTCAGTTTAATGCAGCTAAAATCATAAAAAAGTTATCATTATATTAGTTATATGTAAAGCTCATTATATGTATACAAATATAAGACTCGGTTTTGCAGATTTAAATTCATAAATCAAATGTAAGAAAATTAAGTACTTCATAAAAACCTACATAATATTATATAATTTTTGTTATTTATATATCATGAGGTCTTGTATTGACTATTTTAATATAATGTGTTTATTCTATATATTTGTGAAGACACAATAAGTTTTATTAAAAGTGGACTCTTAGTATGTATATGAAAATTGAATATATATAAGTACATTCCGTAAAAACTTGTAACCAGCACAGTTTAGTTATAACGGTTACTTGACTCCAAAAAGTTAGTAATTCATTCATGGTCCAATGTACAAGCTTTTACAACAAAGACCCAGAAAATATATAAATATATCAAAATTAAACTGCTCATAAGTTCAAAAATTGTTTTAGAATTGTTATACTATTAAAGAGTACATGATTGACTATAACACCTGGGAATGGGGTGATTTCTATAATGCTGTTTCTAAATGTTTGATATTTAATTATACCTCTGAGTTATAGGTATTATATGGTTGTTAATTTTTAGAGCTATATGATTGGCCCAATACTGCTTTAGCTTACTTATTCTTTGGGGTTTGTTGTTTACTCTTGTTCTACTACAGATATACGCATTATGATATGATATACTATGCCACAGAAGGGAATAAAAGTGCTCAGGTGGCAGCCTCGTACTGGCAACCCCAGTATTGGGTGACCACTAGATGGAGTGATGCTCCGATAAAACATGCAAGCAGTTGATGAATGCTGGTGGCTTGGGACTATAATTTGTTGTAATCTATGTGGGAGGCCTTTACTCAGTAGTAGACTTGTCATGGGCTGTAGTAAGAGAGTGAGTACAATGTTTACATACCAGTGAAAAAACATACCCAAAGAGGGTCTGTAAATTGGTTCTGGTCTTATGGCAACTGGAGCTCATACCCGTATGGCCTCAGCTGCATCGTTGCCCCTGGATTCAGCTCAGAGCTAGTAACTCATAACATTTATTTGAATACCAAGTGTACAAAAATTGGTCTTATAATAAAAGTGTAGGTGCATATAAATTAGCAGCCTTTTGAAGGCATTTCAAATGTTAAGGCTTTTACGGCTATGAGGAATAAGACACCTTCCTTTTAAGTTGATTACAACAATCATATTTTTTAAATGAATCATGTTAGCTATAAAAGCCCTATAAAACAAAACTTATCCATTAATTTCAAATCAGAGAATATTATGTCATATATTGTATTTAGTAATAGCGATAAACTTACTATCTTGCCTCTTTATCTGTATTATCAATTATTTTTAACCAGTTTTTTAATGTTAATTTGTGTGTAAAATCTAACTATATCTTACTAAATAAAAGACGAGAGATTTAATGAATTTTACCTTTAAATAGACAATATAATTCTTTAAAATTTACCCTCAAGATCAAAGACCCCTCCCCCTTCCTTAATTTTCTTTCCTTCATACTTTATACTACATTTGGTACATATGTCTCTGCATTTGTATGGTTTTATTTTCTAGTGGAAAAGCGTAAAGAAGCCCACGGTGACTCCTTAGACAAGCAACACAAAAAGAAAATTGAAAGAGAAGAGGAAAGACTTAAAAATAATAATAGAGACCTTTCTTTGGTGAAAATGAAGTCCATGTTTGCAATAGGATTTGCTTTTACTGCACTTTTGAGTATGTTCAATAGCATGTAAGATATTTTTGTTTTAAATTTTTTGAATGGGGTAAATACATAAGAATACATGAACTTGAAAGTTTTGGTATTGTATGTTTTTTTTTTTTCATTTATTTCCTAATACTTTTTCAGATTTGATGGGAGAGTTGTTGCCAAACTACCATTTCATCCTATTTCTTGGATTCAAGGATTAAGTCATAGAAACCTTCCTGGAGAAGACTACACAGATTGCTCCTTCATTTTCTTGTACATACTTTGTACTATGAGCATAAGGTGAAATATTACTGACTATAATTTTATATTATATTATAAGGTGCCTAAGTGGGATTGAGATATAATTTTTATTTCAGGCAAAATATTCAGAAATTACTTGGATTTGCTCCATCACGAGCTGCATCTAAACAAGGCGGGGCATTGTTTGCAGCACCTGCAACTCAATTTAAATAAATATTAATTAAACACTTACTACAGTTTGAAATTACATGAGTTTATTTTTTCTCATCATATATTAATTGATAATATCATTGTTAAATATTATAAATATATACTAGACTTTTTACATAACATCGATTGAAAAGGACAGGGAGAGCAAGTGGACTATATTTACTAAAATTGAGAGACCTAACTGTGGACTGTATGCTATGACGGTTCTATTAAAAGAAAGATAGGACGACTTAGGAAACAATTTATTTCACTATTTAAAATCGCGACAATTACTTATTATAAAGTTAAACTATTTACACTTAGAAACTATAAGGAGCACTAGAGGGATTTTCTTGAACTTGAAGCGCGCTGATTGGTCCTACGCGTCGTATGATTATGTCGCAGTGCGGCGCATGCGAGGGTGACGGAACGGCAGCTTCCCTAGCCGTCCGTACCATCCTCCCCCGGCGTAGTGCCCGAGTCTCAATCTTCTTTCGGGAGAACGGCAATCTTCACAAACTAATAAGAGAACTAACGTAGCAATCTTCCTCACCGGCCTTCGCAGTAGACCGCCTCGCGTCCTCACCTGGACGTTCCGCACCACGCCGTCAGGTCCGGGAAAGTTTCTGGTGGCGACTCCCCTCTTGGCCATAAGATTCGAGGAAGGTTTGTGATTTACAATCACAACGAGGTCATCTTCCTTTAAATCCTCTTTCTGGGCGTTTATAGGTTCACCTGGCGGGACAAGTGGTAAGTAGGTACTCCTGCACCTAGCGTTTCCAATACTAGTCTGCCAGCCCTTGCTGATATTCGCCTTAAATTCATCATAGCTCTCACCACACTACTAAAGGTTAGCTGGCAGAGAATGCGTTTTTGGCATAAAGTTTGCCTTTGTCCCAAATTGTTTTTGTTTGAGTACAATAAAGAATTTTCTATCTATCTAGATGTCCTAAGTTTATGAGATCATGAATTTTTAATGAATGTTTTTTTTTCAATATGGTTATTAGTATTTGTTATTTTTTTAATGTAGACTGCCGCTGCCACGTGGCTGCCATTTCTATATGAAAATCATAGATAATGAAAAGTGAACCATACAGATCGGAAATGCACGAAACTACCTACTACCAGTTTTGATGGTTCTTTTTTATTCAAATTAGTATTACTTGGACTCCATCAAGTCCGGAGGTAAGGACTCATGGTAACTAACAGGAACAGACACAAGATAGTAGGTATAGTACCAGTTACTCGAGTTCACCGAGTCATTAATTCATTCTTGGAGCGATGCATACGCTTTTACAACAAAATCCCAGAAAATATACAAAATTTGACACACACAAAGTTCAAAAACTTTATTAAACTAAGTTTGTAAAATGTTACGAGCTTGAGGTTCGTGATAATAAAAACTGCCGATTCAATTACCAAAATTTACACTTTTATTACCGAACAACAATTAAAAGTTAAAGCACTAATAATTAACCACACTGATTCACTTTATTTCGCTCCGAAGCTTCGCTTGTCTCGCCAAATTCAATACTGCCCCGATCACGGCATGCAGCGGGTTTAAATACACTTACACCGAAACATCCAGAATATTCCCGTAGATACGGGCGCCGACCGACCAGACGCAGAAAGTTCGAGTGTGGGGCTTCTAGAAAGCTTAATTCTTCTGTTCGATACTAGATGGCGCTGTTGGTCGAAAGTCAAGATTGACATTTTCTAGGAACCCTCCTCGTTCTGGTCCCTGACACTAGATAGCGCTAGTGCCGGGTGCATGACGTCAACTTAGGCGCGCAACAATAATAAGGATTATTATAATATTAAGGAATTTATAGACGATAACGGGAAGGGTGATCGCTACCAAACTATTTCTAATTTGTTTTGTGTTGTTAATTGTAACATACATGATTGTAAGCTCTTATTTAAAAAAAAATTGTCCTGCTTGGTTTCTTGCTGGTACTTCCCAGGACAGAGGTTTTTATTGCGAACCAGTGGCAATGAAAAAAATGACTTTCAATAAGTATTACTTGTGGGCCGTGTAGTGGCGGTTAAGAATATCCACTACCCCATATCTTCCCGTGGGTGTCGTAAGAGGCGACAGAGGGAGACAGGCAGGAGATGGGCAGCAGCGTCTTCCTGATGACAACTGTGACGTAATAAAAAACTGCGGTTGCCAACCCGCTCGCCAAGCGTGGCAACTATGGCAAATACCCCCCCAATGAACAAATACACAAACAGACGGCCCCCAGTCCCCGGCGGCCCCGCTATTCCTGGCTACGGTGGCGACCATGGTAACGGCGGGGCAGGGGGTGCTAAGAATCTCCGGTGGAGGTTCGGTTGCCACCTACGACGACTCGACCTGGCAACATATAACGCACGCACCCTGAGGACTGACGAGAAGATACTGGAGCTGGAAGAAGAGGTAGACAAGTTGCGCTGGCATATTATTGGATTATCCGAGGTCCGAAGAGAGGGGGAGGACACGGCAATCCTCGAGTCCGGCAACTTGTTCTATCACCGGGAGGGCGACCATCTGTCCCAAGGAGGTGTCGGATTTATCGTCCACAAATCTCTCGTCAACAACGTTGTAAAGATTGGGAGTGTGTCGACGAGGGTCGCGTACCTGATACTCAGAATCACCAAACGGTATTCGCTGAAGGTCATTCAGGTTTACGCACCAACCTCGGCACATCCCGATGAGGAGGTGGAGGAAATGTATGAGGATATTTCCAGAGCCATACATTCCTCCAGAACCTACTACACGGTGTTGATGGGAGACTTCAACGCAAAACTGGGCACAAGAGAAAGCGGTGAGCTGAAGGTAGGGAAATTTGGAGTAGGGCAACGGAACCGAAGGGGCCAGCAGCTGGCCGACTTTATGGAGAAAGAGGGACTCTTTATGATGAACTCTTTCTTCCAGAAGCGGCCCCACAGGAAGTGGACCTGGTCGAGCCCCGACGGTTCGACAAAAAATGAGATTGACTTCATTATGACGACCAGACGTCAACTGTTCAGTGATGTCTCAGTGATCGCAAGGGTGAAAACTGGCAGCGATCACCGAATGGTTAGAGGCACACTGAACCTAAACGTTAAGTTGGAGAGGTCTCGTCTAATGAAGTCAACGCTCCGTCCCCCCTCGTGCTCTAATCCAGAATCCCGAAACCTTTCAGCTCGAGTTACGTAACCGCTTCCAGTGCCTAGAAGATTGCAATGCAGTGGACGATATGAACGACAAGCTCGTGGAAACTGTCCATGCGGTCGGAGCTAAGTTCTGTAAGACCCGCCGCAGAAGAACACAAAAACTCTCCGATCACACTCTTAATCTCATGGCTGTTAGACGGGAGATGAGGCTGCAATCGTCAACAGATTTGACAGCATACAGGCAACTGAACAGACAGATCTCCAAATGCATACGGCGAGACTTACGCAACTTTAATACTTCTCGTATTAAAGAAGCGATCGAGCGGAACCAGGGCTCCAAAGTCTTTGCCAGAGATCTGTCTGCCAGAAAGAGCCAACTGTCAAGGCTGAAGACTGAGTGTGGCAACATCGTTTCCGGGACACCTGAGATTTTGAGTGAGATTGAGAGGTTCTATGGGCAGCTGTACACATCATCGTTGGAGCCACACGCAAGTGTGAGTAACGATCCAAGAGCAAGTCTTATCCGACACTATTCCGATGATATCCCGGACGTCAGTCTAAGCGAGATTAGAATGGCTCTCCAGCACCTTAAAAACGGCAGGGCCCCAGGCGAGGATGGAATTACAGCGGAGCTTCTGAAAGCGGGTGGAACACCGGTACTTGAAGTCCTTCAGAAGCTCTTCAATTCCGTCCTCCATGGTGGCATTACTCCAGAGGCGTGGAGCAGAAGTGCGGTGGTCTTGTTCTTTAAGAAAGGCGACAACGCTCTCTTAAAGAACTACAGACCGATTTCCCTTCTGAGCCGCGTCTACGTGCTGTTTTCGAGAGTCATTACGAATCGTCTCGCACGCAGACTTGACGACTTCCAGCCTCCCGAACAAGCCGGTTTCCGAAAAGGCTTCAGTACCATAGACCACATACATACCCTGCGGCAGATTGTACAGAAGACTGAAGAGTACAATCTGCCACTTTGCCTGGCGTATGTGGACTATGAGAAAGCCTTTGATTCCGTCGAAATTTGGGCGGTGCTACAGTCCCTTCAGCGGTGCCAAGTTGACTGTCGGTATATCGAAGTGCTGAAGTGTTTGTACAGTAGGGCTACGATGGCTATCCGAGTACAGAACCAGAGCTCGAAACCTATCCAACTGCAGAGAGGTGTAAGACAGGGTGACGTTATATCCCCGAAACTCTTCACCGCTGCATTGGAAGACGTTTTCAAGCTACTGGACTGGAAAGGATACGGTATTGACATCAATGGCGAGTACATCACTCACCTTCGATTTGCCGACGATATAGTCCTTATGGCAGATTCGCTGGAGGACTTAAGCACTATGCTCAATGACCTCAATAGTGCCTCCCAACGGATAGGTCTTAAGATGAACATGGACAAAACAAAGATCATGTTCAATGTCCATGTCACACCTATGCCGGTAGTTGTTGGGAGCACTATGCTCGAAGTTGTTGACGAATACGTTTACCTGGGACAAATAGTCCGACTAGGTAAGTCCAACTTCGACCGAGAGGTCAATCGACGGATTCAACTCGGCTGGGCAGCGTTCGGGAAATTACGGCATATCTTTTCGTCAGGTATACCTCAATCTCTAAAAACTAGATTGTACAACCAGTGCGTGTTGCCAGTGATGACTTACGGATCTGAGACGTGGTCCTTCACTGCTGGCCGTATGAGGACGCTTAAGGTCGCTCAGCGAGCTATGGAGAGGGCTATGCTCGGAGTTTCTCTGCGTGATAGACTCAGAAATGAGGATATCCGCAGTAAAACCAGAGTGACCGACATAGCCCAACGGATTAGTAAGCTGAAGTGGCAATGGGCCGGCCATATAGCTCGAAGAACCGATAACCGATGGGGAAGAAAGGTTCTCGAGTGG